AGCAATTGGTATACATTACCAGGTCTACAGAATTGTTTAGGGCGCCCATTATATCCTCATCAAATCCATCGGAGTTGGATAGTTCCGAAAAACTATCAGAGTCATCGCACTCGAAGTAACTGCTCTGTAAGTAGAAATCGAGATTATAATCAGCGCCTATTGTTGTCAAGTTGACTTAAAAAAAAATAAATATTTATTTGGAATCCTAATCTACCCAAAACAATTTTTTAAAAAGTCGTTCATAAAAAGCATAATGGCTTGGGTATTTATGAGTCGATATCGTTTGCAAATGAATCCTTGAGATGAAGTTTTGTTCGTATAAATAATAGCTTATGTGGGGATTAGAAATCACCACAAACGGAAAAATCTCATGATTTGTTGGCACTATGTACTGTACACTGAGCGAAAAGCACAATGTTTTTTTCAACCAAGTTATGGTTTGATTTTTTCATGGTTAATAAGCCGATTGTAAGAAGTGTGATTCAAGTTCATCATTTGAAAACACATATGTATGTTTGGCTCTAGCTAAACGTGCAGAGATGCTTGCTGTTATTTGTTGGCTTCCAGTGGGTTCTGGTTCAAATGCCGCCAGAGGCGGTGTAGTCTTTTTTTTTGTGAAGTGCAGAACACGATCAAACGACGAAGAAAATGTATTCAAGTTCAAAATTTGAGGGTAAATTTGTACAACGGCGTTGGCTGAATGTGCAGAGATGCTTGCTGTTGTTTGCTTTCAGAAGATGCGGGTTCTAATCAAGTCAGACGCCAACGTGTTACAATGATAATAAAAATTTTTCTTTTATATCTCCGAGTTATGAAAATGCATCTGTGTGGAACATAAGTGTATTCAAACGAAAAAATCGGCAACCACAAATTTTTTTTGATGTAAACAAAAGTGTGGTTAATATTACTAAGTCATTGTTGAAAATATCAACCATGACATTGTTAATATCAACCAAAAATCACATTGATCCCTCTTCAAGTTTGAATTTGGTAATATTAACCAATTTTTTGTTGATTTTTTTCTCAGTGTATGTATGTAGACTGTCACCCATAGCAACACTGAGCTTAAATTACCAAGACAAGAATTACAGTCAAAGTTTTGCGTCGATTCGGTCAATAAACGTCTCATCATACTCGAAAATTCAAATGCACTCCAAAATCTGGACTCACATATATACATATGTAAATATGGGGGATTCCCCTAGCTACCGGACCTTAAAGACCCGGAGTCCAAGATCGCATTATAGTGTGAAAAAATTCCATGTATAGTTATGTTTTGTATTTCTACATCTGTACATAAATATACTTACATATATGTAAATACATATGGGCAATTTGCCCACATTTAGCTTTAGATTTA